ACTGCCCACTGGTCTCACCCCAGAGGCACTTCCAGGCCAGATCAGCCATGGGGCCCCACTCCTGTCTCAGACACTGGCACCCTGTAGCCACCAGTTCTGGAAAAACCTGCCCATGGGGACATTCCCCCTAGAGACTGGTTCCTGCGCTGAGGCCAGGCTGGGGTGTTAGATGAGACCCCCTTCTTTTATACCTAGCTGCTAACGCCTGTAACTGAGAACTGTCTATTTCACTGTCCAGCTAACTGTCCAATCCTCTCGCAAACCTCACTGAGCTCCAGACCTCGGTCAGATCTTGCGGCGGTGAGTTCCACCGGCTAATTACCCGATGTGCAATAATTGTCTTTCCCGTGCAATAATGTGTAATAATGGTTTCAGCCAGCTGCCTTTCGGTCCCACTCCCCGGCCCCTTGTGCTTGTATTATGATGAAGGGTAAATATCGGCGCACCTGTTCTATCTTAGACCCCTGCATCTTGCGCCTGCGTCATTCATTGGTTGTTCCACCCGTCTTCGCCCCGAAGGTAGCAGACATAGCACTGGAATGGGCCTTGACAGCGGCACTCAGCTCGCTGCAGTATGTCCGCCACCATCCCCTCCCAATGCTCTGTTTGATTCCCTGCACATTGACGGACAAGCTCCCGGAGCTGGCGAAGGAGACCCTCTCACGCCTCGGTAGCTGGGGTGAGGAGTCAGACATCGCCATAAGGCCCTGCAGCTGGGGGCAGCCCTCACAGACCTCTCTACGCTAGGACAGGCAGCGTGGCCTAGTGCCTAGAGCAACTCAACTGGGACTCTGGAGAGCTGGGTTCAGGTTCTGCCACCGGCCTGCTGGGTGACCCTGGGTAAGTCACTTCCCTGCTCTGGGCCGCAGTCTTCCCACCTATGAAGCACTTTGAAACCCACTGGTGGAGAGTGAGACGTCAGAGCCAGGCATTCGTTGCTTCATACTCTTAGAGGTGCTGGGCCCACAAACGCCCCTCGCCGGCCCAGCTGCTGCTTTTCACTCCCTTGGCCACGTTCCTTTCCGAGCCCAAGGCCCCCGAGCATGCGTCAGGGCGGCAGACAGGCAGGGCCTGCACCCCAGGAGCCAGGCGACTGCCCCGGCCAGCAGCCCCAGCCTCTCCCGAATGGTTCCTGGAAGCCGCCCACTGTTTATTCCACAGGGCTCCGCACAGCAGCGGGGGGAGGGCCCGCGGTCGCACACCCCGCAGCCCAGCTTGGCTATTATTTATTGGCCGAACTGCCTCGGGGCCGGGATCTACGTGCTGCCCAATAGCCCCGCCACCACCCGCCAGCCCCCTCCACGCCAAAGGGCCTTCGTGCAAAAGTGACCCTCCTAGTCCCCCAAGTGATCAAAGCCTGGTGCACCCGAAGGACAGGATAGCGGGGGGCATACTTCAGCGGAGACACCCCCGGCATGGGTAAATAGGAGCCTCACCAAGAAAGTCCTGGGGATCAAGAGCAGGCCACACATAGCCAGGGGCAGGGAGCCGGGTCAGCTCTCCAAGCAGGCTGGGCACAGCTCACGAAGAGACCCCCCCCATTGCACTGGGCTCTGAGCAGACTGGTAGCCACTGCTGATCTGCTTAGCTATTTCGAACACACCCATCACCCTGGTATCCGAGCTCCACCACGGTCCACGAGCAGCCTCACTTCAGCACCCGTGGGGCAGCTGCTGTGTCCCTGCAGGGGGCTTAGTCCTCAGGCCTGGACATGCCAAGCGTGCCAAAGTGAGAATTTGCTGTAGTATTTTTATGCCTCAGTTTCCCCACACATTGGATGGCTACCCAGTGAGGAGTGGGAGGAAGAAGGATTACATTTGCTCTCAGGGAAGACTAAGGGACATAAATGCAGGTGGAATGAACAGGGGAAGCGCTGGCTGACCTGGAAACTGAGGGGGAGAGAGACGTACGCGCCAGAGACGAAGTTCACTACTGTCTTCTCTGGGCCGACCTGGATGGGCACACTTTAACCTTCCTTTCTCTAGGCCAACCTCAGGACTTCCTGCGCTGCCTTCCAGGTGACTAACAAACCCGCCTGCTGCAAAGGCCGGGCGAGGTGCGTTCTCCCTGCAGAGCATTCCTGTCTCCCCCGGGAGCCTGGCTCCGTGCGACTGGCAGGAGGAGCTTGTGGTGCGAAGCAGGAGTGTGGGAGCCTCCGGGGCTCAGTCTCCGGCGGCTGCGAGGCCACATGGCCTACCCCGAAAGCACAGCAAGCCCCCCTTGGGATCTGACACATCGAAGGGGTTCCTCCAGGAGGCTGTTCCGAAGCTGGGGGCGTAGCCAGGCGCCTCCCCGGCAGCTCGACGATGGCTCGGAGGAAGGCTCGCCGACAAGCACGCCAGCCAGTTCCGGAGCAGCCCTGCAGTGCCTGGCTCTCCTCGGACAGCGCTCCCCAGCTCCTCTGGGGGCGGGCTCCTGACCTTCGTTTCCAAGGCCCTGGAAGTCAGTCCCACTGCTGCCCTTCTGCAGGCCCCGTTACGGCGCCCACGCTACCTCCTCGCTCTGCCGAATTCACGCCTGTCAAAGAGCCTCCAGAGAAACGCGGAAGCCCAGCAGTCATGTTCTGCAGCAGGAAGGGAGGGTCCCTCTCTATACAGCTCTGGCAAAGACCCCCCCACACACACACATACCCCCAGCATGTGCCCTCAGCTCCGTCCCTCCCAGACGCCTCATGTTCTGCACCCTTCCAGGGCACATTCAACACCTGGGACCACCATGACTATGTCTCTGAGCACCCCACAATCTTCAGCCTGTTTCTCCTCCTCGCTCCACCTCTGGAGAGAAGGGCAGAGCTGGTATCCCCAGTGAACACATGGGAACGGAGGCCCACAGAGACAGGGTGACTCACCCTGGGTCACAGAGTGTCACTCCACAGACACCAATTCCGGTCCCCCCTATGACCCAGCCACCGGCCCCTCTCTCTGTAGCAAGGAGGGGACAATCTCTCTCTATACCTCTGGGCAGAGCCCACCTGGCATCTCGTGTTCGTTTCTGGGCGCCCAACTACTACGAGCATTCACAGAGCGCCTAGAGGCTCCTGTCCCGGCCCGACCCTGTTGTGCCAGGCGCTGGACAGACACGGAACCAAAAGAGTTCCCACCCCAAAGCGCCGTCCGTCCAAGTAGCGGATGTAGAAAAACTGGCAGGGGTTCCCAGCCAAGCAACGCAGACGGCTGGGAGCTGGGTTATAAGGAAAGACGGTGAGAGCTAAATCCATACAGCTCAGCCAAGTGGCGAGGGAGGGGGCAGCAGGAGAATTATTGTAGGATGTTTAAACCTTCCAGGCACGCTGCAAAGTCCATGTCTGTTTGCTGGCCTTTGGGAAGGGATGCATGCAGGGGGGCGTTGAGACAGGTCGTTATGGGGTAGCCAGACTTGCATTAAAGATGGAGCAGTTTGCAAGGAATGGAATATTTTCAGGGGTTGCGAAATGGCAGGGCCAAGATTATCCCAGTTTGGGGGGGGAGGCTCAACTGGGGCACCCCAAATTCACTGCTCAGCTTGAGACACCCCAAGAGGTCCTGAGTCTGGGCTACTGCCAAGCACCAGCTCTCCGAAACCCGGGCCGCTTTAAGAGGTCTCAGCCTGGAGATGCCCCAAAAGGCCAGTGACTTCTGACAGCCATGGAGCACGGGTGTGAAATGTACGCCACTGGCATGCAGAGGGAGATGCTCCCCACCAGCCGGACCTCTTGGGGGGCAGCTGGGGTGGGGAAAGCCCCCTCAGTAGGCAGCACTGAGCGCTGGCCCCCCGGCACGAGGCCGGGTCCCAACGTGGGTGTGCAGATGGCAGGGTGCCCACATCGCGCACTCTCCCAGTGGCACAAGGGCAGACCCCAGCAGGGAACACATGGCAGCTCCAGCCCCTACTCACTGGAGGGGCAGCTATGCCAGCCCCCAGCTGGGCACTAGTGACCTGTAGGCACGGGGGGGGGGGGAAGGGGCGCTGAACCAACCTGCCAGGGCAGCTCCTCCCCCTGCCCAGCACCCACGGGCTGCCCGCTCTGTGGCACTGCTACTCCAGAGCTCAGGGCGCACTGATCTTCTGGGGGGGGACCCCCCTCCCAGTTCCCCTCCTCCAGCGCCAGCACATGGCCCTGAATGCAAAGAGGGGTGATTGCTGCCAGCCTGGGGCAGGGTGCCAGGGTGGGTGGAGTCTTCCCCAGCCCAGGGGCATCACCAAGAGCGCCCCCTCCCAGCCAAAAATCAGCGGTGATGCCTGTTGGGGGGGGGGGGCGCTTCTAAATGCAACTCATGACCGAGGAGCAGGAGCAGGCTGGGGAAGGCCGGTCTCCGGGGCTGCGCCGGACCAGGCAGACAAACCACTGCAGTGGGGGCGAGGGGGCTGGGTGAGCCCCGCAGAACCGGCTGCCTAAAAATACCGGCGCGGCTGCAGGAGCCTATAAATACGCGGCGAGCCCGAGCCGGAGGGGGGGCGGGGAGGACCCAGCGCCGCAGGGGAGCCGGGGGGGGGGGTCTAGGGTTTCTGGCACAAGGGACCCGCTGAAGGGCTAGTGCCATTCTCCAGATGGTTCCCATTCCTCCTGCAACATGCGTCATGGCTGCGAGCTCCGGCCGGCAAGCGAGCCCCCAGCCCCCGCTGCCACCCGCGGCCGGGCGAGCCCAGCCCCGGCACATGGCAAGTAGTAGGACGCCCCCCCCGGGGGAGGGGGGCAGCTGGCAACCAGAGAAGCCTGGGCCAGGCTCCCCCCCCCACACACACACTAGGGAACCCCCAGCACGGTGACACCCCAGAGCCAGCAGCCACCTTCCAGCCACCCCCGCGGGGCTTCCCCCCCGGCCCGTGCGCCCAGGGCGCAATGGAGAGCGCACCCCTTGCCCCGCACCGGTGCCGGGGGGGGCAGCACCCCCGGCTCCTCCCACCAGGCCCTGTAACGGGGGAGGGGAATGACCCCCAGCTCTCCCCACCCCCGAGGGGCGCAGCCCCCCTCGGGCGCCCCGGCCGCGGGCGCGCCGCTGGCTCCAGACGCGGCTCCTTACTTGCCAATTTCCTCGTACAGCTGGTACTCGTCGGTGAAGCGGGTGCAGGTCACGGTGGTTGCCATCGCGGCTGCCGCTTCGCTCCGCAATGAGCTGGGCTCCGGCTCCGCCTGGCAGCGGGGGAGGGAGGGGCTGGCAGGGGCGGGGGCAGGAGCCACCCAGCCCGCTGCGCTCCGAGGCTCCCTGCGAGCGGCGAGTCCCCCCACCCCGGCGGAGGAGCAAGGGCCAGCCCCCCGGGGACCCCCGCAGCCCGGGGAGGGGGACGGCCAGCCCAGCGACCCCCCGCACCCAGGGCATGGGGTGGTGTCAGGCCCCCCCAGGGGCCCTCGGGGCACCCCACAATACCCCCAGTGGAGGGGGCAGTGCCAGCCCCACATCATTAGGGGCCCCCCAACCAGAAGCCAAGGAGCCTCCCCATTCACAGAGATCCCCCCTTAGAACCAGCCCCCCAGTGCACCCCTCCAAAAGCCCCAGGGTTCCCAGACCCCACAATTTCTAGCCCCTCCCCACTCCCACCCCACGGAGCCAGGGCCCCTCCCGGAGACGGAGAGGGACACAGACCCCTTGGTGTTTGGGACCTGGGCTCCACTGGGAGGGGAGCTTGGGGGGAAGATGGTGAATGTGGTCTGGTTTTTGCTTGACCGGTCTCTGTTTCTTATTGTGGCCAGCCAGGCAAAAATACAGGCCAGGGTCTGCCCAGGCCAGGACCTCTACTAAGGAGGGGGCACCTTGGTTCTGCCCTGGGACAGGGCCCCTCCCTTCCGCATCAGCCCCTCACCCCCGGATCCAGAGGTCATGGGGCTGGGCGATAAAGGGCCATTAAAGCACAATATAGCACTGCTGCCCAGTCTGAGAGAGGTGGGCCCATCACCCTGCACCCCCACATGCCAGCCTATTGCACCTAGAGCCAGGGAGCGATGGAGCCGGGGGCCACACGGCTGTAAGGATATTTCAGGACCACCATCCAGGTTCTCATAGGCCCTTACAGGGGGGTTCACCTGGTCACGGTGGAACTCTGGGTGATGGACCCTCTACACAGCAAGATCAGTGCCCGAGACAGGGCTGCCCCGGGGCCTGGTCCCTGCCTGTGTGGCAAACTCCCCACCACCACCACCACCAATCCAAGCAGCGCTGCCAGATCCACCCAGAGCCTCCCACTCCTAGACACCCACCCCAGAGCCCCCCCCCATGCCCAGAGGCCCCCACTTCTGCTCCAAGTGCCAGGTGCATTCCCTTGACCTTGCCTCCTCCAACAGAAATACACAGCAAGAGGCACATTTAAATAAAACAAACAATCCGACCCAAACAAGCCACTCCCCCTGCCACGTCCCTCTCCCCCCTGGGGAGAGGCTGAAGCAAACACCCCCACAGATGTGTCCTCGAGTGTGACTGGGAGGTGTTCAGAGCCTACCGTAATGAGCGTGGAGAAGAACCCCTTCGCCCGCACCAGCTCCAGCTGAGTTATCCCCCGAGATTGGTTTGGGAATCATTCACTCTTCGGGGCTGCTCAGCAAGGGCACAGGTGTGATCACACTTCCGCCCGTGGGCTCCAGGTGTATGCGCTAACTAGTCCTGCGTGACCAGGCCCCGTAGTCCCAGTTGTTCCCGGGCTCTGGCCGGGGGTTTGCACCATCCTAGTTGCGAAAGGGGCAGAGGCATCCTCACAGCCACCACAATGAACCGGGTTAGAGCCAACAATCTGCCCTGGGTGTAGAGCACAGCCATCGGGCTGGTCCCTGACCCATAGACAACTATCATTTTGGTTGCTAGAAATCTGAACTAATCCCACGTCGCTCTTATAGGCAGATCTCCCAGCACTTTACCAAGAAGGTCAGTATCCTTATTCTCATTTTATAGATGGGGAAACTGAGGCACAGAGATGGCGGGGGAGGGGATTGACTTGCCCAAGGTCACTGACAGGGGAGTGGCAGGGCTGGGAGGAGAATCCAGGTCTCTTAAGTTGTGGTCCAGTGCTCTGGCCAGCATCCGCCCCCATTCAGCATGGACATCATTGCTAATCAGTAACAGCAGGATGTGCATGGTGATAGTGGGGGTGGGGAGGAGCATTCACACTCCATAGGATGTGAAGGCAGATTCCTGTTATAGCTTCTGTGACAGGGCTCAAGGGAACGCTGCTGGCTTTAGACCTAGGAAATTTCTGTGTCCACAATCAAGGGAAGGAGAAAAAGGTCTGCTAACAAGACCCAGCTCTGGCTCCATCAGGGCGCCTGGGCTGATCACAACACTGCGCAGCACCACAGCAGCCTCTCCTGACTTGACACGTCCTGACTCGGCCAAGCTGGCTGTCCCGGTCAGGGAGAACCCCCGTGCGGCGAGCTGGTTTCCAAGGCCAGGCCAGCATAGCTGGAGAGCAGCGGTGTCTACAGAGAACCCAGCGCAGGGGTCCTTTCTGTGAGAGTGATGCTGCATAAGGGGCATCCTGCCAGCATCATCTGGAGCAGGAGATGGAGCCGGGGCAGAACGTGCAACTGGAAATGAAGGATGCAGAATTAGCCCAGCAGGAAACTCCAGGGGGAAATCGTGCCTGTTGAGATGGAGCCCAGAGTCCCACAGCCACAAGTCTGATGAATCATGTAGCCCTGGGGATGGGGGGGTCACCCACCAGCTGGTGCACCCCCTCATGAGCAGGGTGTAGCAGCTTCTTCATCTCTGGCACCCCTGTCCACGGTCACACCAATCCAGGCTTTAAAACCAGGAGTCAGCCCTCCCCAGAACCACAAGATCAGCTTAAAAACCAGGAGATTTTAAATGACGACATTAGAGGGTCTTTCGAATGGGTTCCTGGGCACAGAGCCTGGCGGGGTCACCTTTGCAAGCTCTTCTCCACAACTAGGAGAGAGACGCTTGCCTTTTTTAAAAATTAAAGTGGAGCGTCTCACACAGTCACCTGACTCCGGGAGCTGGGGCTTTAAGAAACACAGCAGCGATCACAACGGAATACAAAGGAACTGAGATGAGAGGCACGGCCCAAAGCGAGGGAGCCTTACCGGCTCTGCATGGAGGGATGCCCTGAACACTTCCGGGATGTGTTCCCCGTCATTTGCTACACAGCAGCCTCACCACTCAGCACACAGGGGCCTGCGTCATCATGGGTATTTCCGGGGGAACCAGGCTCCTAAGCACCTCTGAGGATGGGGGCCGGGCTGCCTTCTTTCCAGGAGCTCGTGTGCCTTCAGCTAGGTGCCAGACATGGGAGATGCTGTTTGCACCGGGAGTTTTTTGGCCAAACGATTCCCATCGATGCGGCTTGTACATCTCACCCTTCAAGCCAGCCACTGCGTGACAGAAGCCACTCAACGAGCATGTCTGTCTACCCTGCATCTGTCCTGCCTCGTGGATTAATAATAAATGTCTATTTCTTTTATAGCCCTTTCCATCACTAGATCTGTTACTCCTCCCAGCACCCCCTGGGAAGTAGGGAAGCTACTGTATCTGTAAAATGGGAAACTGAGGTACAGGGAGGCTAAATGACTTTTTGAATGAGGTTTTTAAGATCAGGCTTGACAAAGCCCTGGCTGGGATGATTTAGTTGGTGATGGTCCTGCTTTGAGCAGGGGGTTGGACTAGATACCTCCTGAGGTCCCTTCCAACCCTGATATTCTATGATTCTATGACTTGCTCAAGGGCACAGGAAGTCCGTGACGGAGCAGGACATGACCACTGGTTTCCCATGTGCTCTAACCACTGAGCCGTTCTTCCTCCTTGGAAGTGTGGGGGACAGGGACTGTCTGCTCTGCTCTGTGAAGGCACCTGGCACAATGGAGCCCTGATCGCAGCTGGTCCCTGGGCACTCCAGTAATAAACATGATTATTAATAATAAGCGACTGACACACAGGACACCTGTGTTTTGTTGCATGTGACACTGTCACTGACAGGTTCTAATGGTTTTTAACTCTCAAACCTGGTGCTAAAGATGGTTTCTCATTGTGTCAATTAACTACCAAGCTGCTTAGAAGCCAACTCCCCGGGTAAAATAGAAACGCTAGCCCGTGCAGCCAGAAATCAGCAGCCGGTCTGTCCGGAGCCTGGTTGATCCCTAGCACAGCTTCTCCCACTGGAGCTAAAGGAAGCCTTGAGTACATTCAAACGCTGTCCTAGTTTCACTAAAAATAGGATTGAAACCCGATTTCCTTAAACCGGCGCCAAAGGCCGTGCGGACTCTAAATGTGTCTGGATCCAGGTGTATTTCAGTTCAGCGTATGTCGCTTGGGAATTGATTTAAACGAACTCAAAGCCGGTCACTTCACTAAACAGGTGCAAGTTAAAGCCTTGCAACCCTCTCGGACAGACAGGGCCTAAATTGTCCTCTGTAGGGACCAGCCACTAGAGGGCGTGATGCAGCTGTTTGCTAGACAGCAGGAGCAAGGCGGGAAGCAGGATTCCTGGGTTCTGTTCTGGCCCTGGGAGGGGAGTGATGTCTAGTGGTTAGCCCAGCAGTGACCCGTACATAGATCTGGCACATTCACTCTAAGCAGCAGTGTGGCTGAAACTCAGGTGCGTCGTATGAGCGACCTGGATTCTAATCCCAGTTCTACCAGGAATGCCCTTGTGTGTCCTCTCAGCGCGTTTATTGGGGAAAAGGGTCGTTTCCTGGAGCACGAGGCCTTGCTCAGGAGCCGGGAATGTGGCGGGCACAGAAACAAACAGGAGCGTGTGGAGGGGAGCTTAGAACTCATGGTCTCCGCCGGCTGCTGCGTCATCAGACCCTATTCAGAGCGAGCCCAGAGAACAGAATGCATGGCAGTCGCATTCGGCTCAGGGCTCCCCCGATCGCTCGTGCCCATCAGTACGCCGGCTACTGGTCTCTCCCCTGCATGTGTCCGTTGCATCTGCTCCTACCACCGCTGGGCTGCATCTTCAGAAACATGCCTAGGCTGCAATTAGCCAGCTAGGCCGCCCTATATAGCGATCGGCCTTATAAACTCACAGTGCAACTTCCTACTTAGCCTGTCAGCGGCATGGGGCAGGGACAGCGCCTGGCACAATGGGGTGCGGCTACCCCAGCACACCTAGTAATCTTTCATTTCATTTGCATTGATCTTTGCCAGCACATGCACTC